ATATAATAAATCAGAATTAAAAATAAGAAAAAAAATATCAGATAACCTTGTAAAAACATCAAAATGCATAATAAATTAGTACATCGTCATTTACTAATTTGTTATTGATCTTAGTTTCTTAGCTTTATATAATGGTTGGGAATAAGATAATAGTCTAGAAATATGTATTAATGCTTCCTTTATCATTTTACAAAATATTATTGCATATTTCCACATATTTCATAATATTTCCACAATGTCTCTAATTTTTACAATATTTTCCTCGACATTTCCGACATTTCTGACATATGTCCTATATTTTGGCAAGCGACATTTCCATCGACATCGACATTTTAAACCTTGGCATTAACAGTCTTAAAATATGTGAAGTGATATTTTTTTGAATAGCATAATTTCATTACCCAAAAGGAGGGAGAGATTCCCTTAAAAGCATTTACAAAAAGGTATAACTCCAGCCATCACTATCTGAGTAAAGATAAACTAGTCTTATCGTTATAGCCTCTGGAATGTTTGAACAAATTGTACTATAAAAATATCTGCACATCAGAAATTTAATTAAATTTGGCAAGACATAAGTCTAGAGAAATGCTATTTAGCTTCAAAAACTAGATATAAATGCATGATATAGGCATATTACATGGTATACCCATTCCCATATTTGTGTTCAGGATTTTAGGAAATGGAAAGCTGTATTCCCTTTTCCTTATCTATGTCCATTTCTGTATCCATATCTGTATGTAGGCATCAAAAGTTCCAACAGTTTTAGGGCTTTTGGCATATTGGTCAAGTACATAACACAAAACCGAGGAGTAAACTGCATTTTCTTACACCATTACTTTAAGATCTTAATGCTAGGGCGATTCCCAGTGATATTTTATTTCCAGTTGCTCCACCACTTTTCTGGTCATCATGATCATTGTTGTTAGTTTCTACACGACCTCAAGATATTTCAAGATTAGTTGAATACTATCATCTTCTTTTCTATGCCCCTGCTTCTTGTTCTTGTTTGCTCTCCTTACTATCCCCACAAATTTTCCTTGTAATAGGGAGGCAGTCCATCACTGGATCACTTCTTGATTCTTTCTCTTCATAGGTTGGTCCATGTTAATATATATTTTAAGAAACATAGTATTTTCTCCACATTTGGATACTTTATCTTGTACCTTGAAAAATACACTAGGATTACTTCAGTATTTAAAATGTCCAAAAGATAGTTTACTTATTGTGTAATTGTAGTTGTTCTAGAGCTGGTGTACAATTGTCTGTTAATTTCTTTTTATCTGCTTAATTTTGTGCAAATATGATTATAAATGTAGTAATATAAACTCATCTTCCTATTAGAATTTCCTGTTCACATGTTTCATGCAATTTTATTCTAAAAGAAATAAATATGCTTGAAAGCCATAGCATTTTGATCTATAATTTTGGTGCATTTCTGTATATTAGGAACCGCTGCGATGCTACTTGTCATGGTTTGGCAACCCCACATCAATGTCCTTACTTTGTCAGCTCTATTAAGGTATATTTTTCACTTCAGTCCTTTTTTTAATAAGTAATCAATAATTCTATTAGTTGAAAATTACACTTACAGTAATTAAGATAATGCAAGAAAAGAAGAAAAGAGAGAAAGAGAAAGGAGAAGAAAGAAGTTTCAACAATAGGTTGTGGAAGAAGAAAAGAAGGGAAGAGAGAAAAGAAGAATCCGAACCTCTCTCTCTAGCCCCCTTTCATCACTTTTATTAATAATTCTAAGTCTGAGTACAATTACTTGGATGCCCTTAATGGGGCGGCCAACACTAAATAAATAATAAAAGAAAATAAAAGAAGGCCCATAACTAAGAAACATAGCCTTTAAATACTACTTAAAAGAAATAAAGAACACTAGGGCCTATTTGGCCCATTCTCACTACACTCCCCCTCAAGCTGAGCATAGATGTCAATCATGCCCAACTTGCTTTCATAATGTTGAAGCTTTGCCTTTGGGACTCCCTTAGTTAGAAAATCTGCTAGTTGCTCTTCTGATGAAATGAAAGGTAAGCACACTTCTCCTGAAGCCACTCTCTAGTCTCTCTCGTATGAAGTGTCTGTCTACCTCAATGTGCTTAGTTCTATCATGCTGAACTGGGCTGTGAGTAATGTTAATAGCAGCTTGGTTATCACAATACAACATCAGTGGATTGTCACATGAAACACCTATCTCGTTAAGGAGAGATCTAAGCCATAACAACTTAGAAACACCATGGGCCATAGCTCTATACTTTGCCTCAGTTGAAGATCTGGCAACCATTGATTGATTTTTGCTTCTCCAGGAAACAATATTTCTGGCTACCATAGCACAATATCCTGATGTGGATCTCCTATCATCCACATTTCCTGCCTAATCAGCATCTGTATATGCTTCTACCTTTATGTGTCCATGTTTAGCAAATAATATACCCTTCCCGGGGGTTACCTTAGGCAATGTTTGGTTTGAAGGAAAAGGTAGGGAAAGGAAGGGAAAGACAGGGAAACCAATACAAGGGTTGTAAAGGTTTCCCTACCTTTCCCTTCTTTTCCCTACATTTTCCTTCAAACCAAACAAAGCCTTAAGGTAACATAACACCCTTTCTGTAGCAACCATATGTATGTCTCTGGGAGCATGCATGAACTGGCTGATGACACTTATAGCATATGATTTGTCTGGACGAGTCATACATAGATAAAGAAGTTTCCCCAGTAATCTCTGAAACACTCCCCTGTCAGCTAAAAGTTCTCCATCATTAGCTGAGAGTTTACGGTTCACATCAATAGGGGTAGAGGCAGGTTTAGCACCAAGTTTTCCAGTCTCAGTAAGAAGGTATAGCACGTACTTCCGTTGAGAAATAAAAATACCTTCTTGGACCTTTTAACCTCAATGCCTAGAAAATACTGCAACTCCTCTAAATCTTTAATTTCAAATTCAGAACCGAGAAACTTTTTGAGAGCACTAACTTCTTTTGTGTCACTGCCAATAATCACAATATCATCTACATAAACTATAAGATATGTCACTAGAGTGCCTTTTCTCTTAACAAAGAGGGTATGATTTGATTGAGTCTAAGTGTAGCCGAACTGAACAAGAACAACCCTAAACCTGTCAAACCAAGCACGTGGAGATTGTTTCAGGCCATAAAGTGATTTCTTCAATCTACACACCTTACCCTGCATTTCCTTGCCATATATACCATGAGGAAGGGACATATATACCTCTTCAGTGGGATCATCATTCAGGAATGCATTCTTAACATCAAAATTGATATAGAGGCCAATCATAGCTCATTGCTAAGGATAAAAGAACTCTCACCGAAGTCATCTTAGCAACTGGAGAAAATGTCTCTATGTAATCTTTTCCATATACCTGCGTATATCCCTTGGCAGCAAGTCGAGCCTTATTCCTCTCAATTGACCCATCTACACGATACTTGATAGTGAAATCCCACTTGCACCCAATAGGTTCCTTCCCAGCTGGCAAGTCAACAATATCCCAAGTATTGTTTTTATGAAGGGCTTCTATTTCAGTATTCATAGCATCCCTCCAATTTGGTGTGGCTAAGGCTTCTGATATAGACTTTGGGATGGATTGAGAGTTAATGGAGGCTAGAAAGGCATAGTAGGATGGGGACAATAAGCTGTAGGAATGGTGCTTGAAAATACAATGAGCTATACATTTCCTCTTACCTTTTATCAAAGCAATGGGTAGGTCAAGGTCTAGAAATGAGGGTGCTGGTGGAGGAGGTGATGGACATGTCCTCTCTTCAGTAATCTGGAGTGCTTGAGACTCAACTGGAGGTGTGGGATCAATCTGTGTTTGCCTTAGCCTTTGCCGTTAGTACTACCTCTGGAGAATAGGATGAGTGGAAACAACTAGAGGACTAGCAGGAGGAGGGGGAGGAGCAGGAGTGGAAGACCTCAAAGGAGAGGATCCCTCCATGGGAATGGGGGTAATTGTGGAGGGCTTGACACAAGACTTAACTGGAGTTGGCAAAGGAAGGGATGAAGAAAACAACTTGAGAGATCTCTCCCCCTTAGAAGGATGGCTATAAAAAGGAACTAACTTTGCAAAGGTGACATCCATGGAAACAAACCGGGTGCCACTAATGGGATCAATACAACAATACCCTTTCTGTGTGGAGGCATAACCAAGGAAGATACACTTCTGAGCCTTGGGGTCAAACTTGTCTTTTGGAACTTGGAATGTGGACATAACAAGTGCAACCAAAGACCTTCAGAGGAATAGAGAAAATCTCAACATCAGGAAAGAGGACTCCAAAAAAAAGATTTTAACCCCAAGACTCGAGAAGGTATGCGATTAATAAGGTAGGTAGCTGTTAAAACTACATCACCCTAAAACTTCTACTACTTCATTTTGTTGTGGAGTGCGGGCACAAGAACTCTGATGAATAACCCCAAACTTCTCAAGATAGGAGGTAAGGTCCTTCTCAAAATATTCCTTAGCATTGTCTGATCGGAATATTTTGATGTGTGTATTAAACTGAGTGAGTATGTGTTCATGGAGCTGTTGCACAAGTTTAGGCACTTCAGCTATTAAGTCGAGTGGTGTTAAACCTAAGGAGATTCCGAGAAAAGTGGAAATTCTTGCAGATGGATTGATCTATGTGGTCTGGCTGACAACATCCATGGAGAGAGAATGCTAGTGTGGCAAACGTTGGTTCATTGGCTTATAGGGGATGGGAAATTACATAAAAAATGTTAAGACTGCTGGAACAGACCAACAGAAAGCAGTTAATCAGTTTTACAAGAGGAGGCCACGTCAGCACAACTAACCATCCACCTGCAACAACTGTAACAGAAAGACAATCAAGATTGTAAAACAATATAAGTAGTAGAGCAGAAAAGGAATAAGACATTGATTCTTTCAGCATTAAACTCTCTCTCTCTCTCTCTCTCTCTCTCTCTCTCTCTCTCCCTCTCTTTTTTCCAAGAATTCAGGAGGTTGGCCCCTCGAAGAGCCCTGAGTTAGGCAGGTTCCTAACAATTTGGTATCAGAGCCAACTTGACCAACACAAGAAACACGTCAGTAGACACCCGAATGGATCAAATGGAGGTAGAGATCCATCGAATGTCTTCAGATCTCAAAGAAATGAAGGAAGGTTTCACTGCTCTCCTCTTTCGACTAGAGCAGGGGGCAACGAACAATGACAGAGGAAGCCAAGAAGAGTGTAGCAATGAAAACAACCGCAGAACAGGGGCGGCAATGAGAATAGCCAAAATCGATTTCCCCATCTTCTCAGGGGCGACCACTAGCCTTTTTCAGCAAGGCCTTAACATCACAAAAGTGGGCCAAATCAGTTTATGAACGAGAATTAATAGCAATAGTCTTAGTAGTCCAACGTTGGCGATCCTACTTGATCGGTAGACGGTTCATAATTCAGACCGACCATCAAAGTCTGAAGTTCTTATTGGATCAATCAGTTCTATCCCCGGAACAACAACGCTGGATATCCAAGCTACTGGGGTACGACTACAGAATTGAATACAAAGCAGGGGCTGCTAACCGGGTGGCGGACGCCCTCTCACGGCACCCAYAGTCATTTCAGTTACTAGTATCTTCCCCAACTTCTCCACTCTTGGATCTACTGCGAAAAGAAGCCCAATCCCATAAGGAGCTACAGCAGTTGAAGGCCCAAGTATTGGCAAATACCTCACTGCACCTCGGGTACACCATTAAGAATGATCTACTCTTCTTCAAAGGACGCCTGGAAATTCCGGCAGCTTCTGCTCATCTCAGGAAGCTCCTGGAATTATTCCATGCCTCACCCACAGGTGACCACTTCGGCATCCTACGAACACAAAAGTGCATCGCCACACAATTCCATTGGAAAGGCATGCATACATCTAACCAGAACTTCATAGCCGGGTGTGCAGTATGCCAACAAAACAAGTCGGCCACTACAACACCAGCAGGCCTCTTGCAACCACTCCCAATACCAACCCAAGTCTGGGATG